TCATTCATAATGATCTTGACATCAATGCTTTCATGGTCTTTGTTTTGGCATGAGTAGATATATTTTTTCACGGATGAGTTTCCATTCTTGAGATGTTCTCTTACGCGGTCGTGGATGAAGCGTGTCGTACTACCAATGTATTGTTGTTTGCAGCTATTGCATGTGAGCTGGTATACTACATTTCGTCGTAAACATAATCCGGTGTTAGATATGGGGCACTTGTCTCTGGTGCATTCGCGTACTTTGGGGGTTTGGGATAGGGCGTGTCTGAGTGTAAAAGATTTGTGGGAAATGCGTATCGGGATGTTTTCTTTCTTAAAGATGTTGGAGATCCTGTGATTTAGTCGTTCAGAAATGTATAGGATCTTGAGGTACGACCATTCTGTGTTTGCAGGTTGAGAGTTTCTTTGGGGGTGCTGTGGGCGTTTTGATTGTTCTTTGTTGCTCTCTGGGTAACCGTTGAGGTGAATGATGTAGTCGAATGAGTTTAGGTGTTGTGTTGCAGATATATGTGAGGAGCATCTCTTCAATGCGTTTTCTCTCGTTGCGGATGAAGTTGAGTTTGGATTTGGGGGGGATAGCTGATTGGTAGTGAACGGATAGTGGTTTCTTGGCTGGTTTTTTGTAGAATTCGAAGGAACTGTTGCCATCCTTGGATATGGTGACTTTGAAATCGAGTAATGATAGTGACATGCCACTGGGTGTTGTTTCTGGTTTTTCAATTTCAAATTTCAGATTAGGGTGTACATTGTTCATTACATGGTGGAAGTGATCTGCTGTTTCTTCATTGGTTGTCTGGAGGTAAATATCGTCAACATATCTATAAGTTTATTACAGGAAGAAGTATCCTCTTTTGGAGCATTAATGCAACAGATAAATTTATGAAGTGATGTATGCCTGCCTTCCTTCAGTGACATAATTAAAAAGGCAGTAAATTCCCGATGAGCAACATACCCATCAACAGAGGAAATAGCAAACAAGTTAACAGAAATGTTTGACTGTGACTGCCTCATCTGCTGAGCCTATTTGCACTCAGTCCATGTACACTGATAAAATGTACTCTAGGTCATATAGACCTCAGATGTTTTAAATTTTGACTTAAGATAAAGAATTGTCAAATTGTTTGTACTACATATTATCACAGTCAGTTTGATTACTTCAACTCAAACTTACTTTGATTGGACTGGGAAAGCAAAGTAAAACATACTTTAGTCCTCTCAAGCAGTGGAGATTGCTCACTCTGTTGTTGTGTCTCATACTATCAACAAACAGATCAAAACGATAAATATCAAGGAGACTTGAATTTTGGTCAGCAAGCCAAATATTGATTTGATAATGGCTAGTGCAGAACAAGGCAACCATCTGACATATAAAATAACAATAGTTGATAGTAATGAGATGAATAATGAGGAATTCTACCCTTTAGTTATAAAATCCTGGTGGTTATATACAGCAACTTATCTGGCCCCTTAAACAGCTAAGAAAAACAGAAAATCTATACTAGCCTCTGTAAAACATTTACTGATTGGTCTTTAGTCATGAAAATCAGATGTTAGAATTTTACATGGTTAAATGTTTACATTATTTATGAACTACATCCATATTAGCTATTGGTTTATCACTAGTGGCTTCTTTGAAATAAAAAAACTCACTGAAATGTGCAACTTACCAATTGTGATTGCATGATTACTACAAAATACTGACCTATGTTTCCCTGCAAATCGTCTCGACAGTAGCAACTGTAGAGCAATTTTAAGAAAAAACATAATACATTTGATTGTAATAACTTTAACTATATCATGTAAATATAACATTATATTTGTAAATCCTTTATTATGTTAATTTCTTCTCCCATTTATATTCCATCCTCAAAAAATAATTGTTGGCTTTTTTGTCGGATTTTTAAGCTCTTGAAGAAATATTTCTAACTTGTATTGTCAAGATACTCAACTAATAAAGAGAATTTTATTTAGCAGTTGTGATGATAATGAAATGAGTTTCATGTTCCATACATTCTCTTAGCAGTCTCATCACCACACCAATCAAAATAGCAGAAGCTGTTTAGTATAAAAGGCATGTAATCGGCCATATTCCATGCTGTGAAAAGAATGCAGCAAACTAGTTCTTGAGTGAAATTCTGTGGCTCATTATCACAAGAATAAGTGCTGCAGAACTCTAATTAAGGAATCATAGAATACTTGTGGCATGCAAGGATTGTGTTTTTCTGTAGAGGCAATTTTTGACTTAACTACACTCAAACCACAAACAGAATCTGGGTGATTGGTAAGCAGCTTGTACTTGGTGAGGTTGTTGCTTGACAGGTCCTCTGTAATTCTATCAAGCCGTAGTCCTTTGATCTCATTGTCAGATATTTCAGACAAAGATTTTGGGCTCATGAAAGTATAGAACAGCCAGAATGCTTGTTCTGCCTCATTGCTGAAGACAGGAATTATCACTCCCTCTTCACTGTGCCTAATATTTTCCTCAATGGCTTTAAGGGAATCTGTATCAAAGAGAGAGAGGGCCTCACTCCTCTGTAATATTAGTCTTTCATATTTTGGTCAAATGCTAAATCCACTACAGCAACTTCTTTTTCATTTACTCTGTTATCAATAGTAGCTCCATAGAAGACTTCATCATCTACAATCTTTGAAAGCACATGAAAACCTTCTGTTGCAACATTCTTGTCAGAATTGTCAACACAAGACTGTCTGTTGACTTGTGGTAGGTCAAAATTATCAACAACCTCAAATCTGAGGGCATCTTTTGCTTCCATTATCATAGACCTGTTTCTGGCCATATGCGTACGGTCTTTGAAACCTTATGCCTTGAGGCAGATTGTGAGCCTTGACATTTCCTTTCTGGTATGGAACTCCACCTTTGTTGCCTATAGCTTCACTTCGAAAAGCAGGGGGTTTAGAACTGAGAAATAAATACATTAACTAGGCAAAGTAGTTAACTGTAAGTCCAATTCCCATGTTCTAACTCTCTAATAACCCTAATCAAAACAAAAAATATAAGGGTCAGTCATTGCCAACCATTTTATCCCCAGTCAGAAGTCAGAAAGGCCAACAAGGTATGACACTCAGAAGCACCCAGTAAGAATTATTGTTTGGTAAAAAAGATGTGGAAATAGCATTCTTGGAAAAATTGTATTATTTTCAGCAAACTTCATTTTCCTGCTAAACAATCTATTGTACCCCCCTGTATTTGGAAGTTTTTTTTTTACTGTTAAAGCCTGTTTTTCACTAGCAACACAAGCGCAAGAGCAGCAGCAAGCACAAGCACAAGAGGCCTTATTTTGTAGTGAAGACGGGCCTCATGCAGTGATAACTCAAGCGCAAGAGCGAGCGCAAGATATTCAAATTTTTCCGTTTTTCTTGCACTTGCTGCAGCGCTTGCATTTGGCTTTGCAAGTGGCAACCAAACACATGCAAGCGCAACAAAAGTAGATGGATCATTCATGTCAGGTGACCAATTGGACCAATCATAAATTTGCATCACTATCTGCCACGTTGAAGTCAAATCACGGCTGAGGAATGGCACTAGCGAATAAAGACTTTGTGCTTGTGCTTGGACACGTTTTGTTTTCACTAGAAATTTGACACTTGCGCTTGCTGCGGCTCTTTCACTTGCATTGCCAGTAAAAACCAGGCAAACATTTCTTCCTGCAGATTACTTTGAACATAAATTCTTAAAAATGAAACCCTGAGATCTTGCTGGGAAATATTTTTAGTACTCTTTCTAGATGGGTCAAACACCTCATACTGACCCAGATGGTCCCTGGATGTCCTTGAATGCAGTACAATCATAAAAACTTATAAGTTTATAGATGTAATGCAAGACATTGATAGTCATTGAAAAATTATAATATCACTTTTAAAATAATTATTGTTCAATAGTTCACCTCAAAATCATTGCCAGATTAAAATATAATATATCAAATAAGTACCAAAGGAAAAATGAGAGAAAAAGCTTTAAGTACGGTATGACAGATAAACACTCATCAAAAGAAATTACTTACTATATTTTTGATTGAAAAGATTGACAATATCTTTTAATGTATAGAACTTCTTGTCACAGGCTGAAAGATAAAGTTTTTTTGTACTATAATAGAAATGAATGAAACCTTTAATTAAAATTCATTTAATTGTATGTCTACCCTTTAAAACTAAAATGCGCTGCAAGGAACAGGAGCACAAGAAAGAATAATACTGTTTTCCTAACAAAATTTGAGGTATAAGGATAAAAACAGGTATATTTCTTGTACCTCTATTTAGCAAGATCATTGTATCACGTGCCATTAGGCAATGGTAATTTCACGATCTTTTCCTATTAAAATATTTTACACTTCCAATACAACAGTTATAAAAACCAAAATCATTACACAAACTTACTTCTTTTTTTTTATATCAATATCATTTGAAGAAGATGTATCTTTTGAATTTATTCCTTTCTTCCAAATCAAGCAATTTCTTTCTCTTTGTTTTGCAAACATCAAAGTTAACATACCTAAATGTTGTCTAAACTTAAGCTGGATGTCATCATTTGCAGACAGAAATTGCAGACCTTCATCTGACACCATCCCATGCATTTTGCCATCTGCACTATCCACCAGAATAATCACTGAGTGGCAGCCAAGGCTGTCAAGTATCTTGAGCTAAGAAAAATGTTCATTATTTACTAATGTCAACATAATCATTATAGTCATAATAAATATGGTATCTAATATTGATATTATTACTAAAATATTTATTACTTTTATTAAATATTATGCAAGAGTATATTTGTGCTAACTTGTGGTTAGCTAGTCATAATGTCAAATCAAATTAATCCAGGGTAAACTGTTAAATTAATCTATTGTTCAATTTGAATTTCCCTATAACATATTCAAATGTATCATTAATATTTGGTTTTCCAACGTTTTGTTTGTTGTCTAGTAGATAGCAACAATTGTTGCTAGTTTTTATTTCAAAATTATTATCATTATCATCATCATCATTATTATCAGCAGTAAAAACGTCTGGATGCCCAGATATCCAATATAATGATTGGGCGGCAAGCCATGGCCAATCAATGCAACGACTAAAGTCCCTACAATTAAAATTCCTTATTGTTATTATGATTATTATTATCATTATCATTATGATTATTATTATCATTATCATTATTATTATTAGAAGTTGCTTAGAGGTCGTTTTGGCACCTGGAAATCACATCACTTTCTGGCCATTTCTTAACTTTAAATAAAATTTAGCAAAAGTAAAGGTTGAGAATTTAATAAAACAATTATTCCATTCACGCTTATTGGATATGAGATTGGTTATAGCCAACGAGGCCCTTACTACTTACAGTAATAAAGAAATGAAGACATTTTCCATTGCTATTATTATAATTATTGCAATAACTATTAAAATTATTTTCGTACTATTTAAATTAGTGGTAAACCCTCATATTGTTATTGTGCTCATTATTATTATCCAATATTTAGTCATTAATTGTCAACTAGCAGTGCTAATTATGAGCAATTTAATTGGTCATTATAATATAATTGTCTAATGTTTACTATTTTCACTATTGCAAATGAAGAGAATTACCTGACCCATCATCTCCAGCCTTGCTGTCCTTATAATCTTCTTCCTCTCATTTTCTTCAAGGCATTTTACATCGATTTCTTTGGCACTTTTTGCCTTATCTTTGTAAGCACAGCATTCTTCATTGCTTAGTAACTTCCATAAATCAGCAGCCAAGAGGTTTCTTTCTGCCATATCCTTTCCTCTACATACCTCTGTCATAGAAAAATCCAATATAACTGTTAATGAGATCATTTTGGAAAGTTCTCAATTTATATATTTTTTTTTGCTGTACTGGTTCAAGGTGAATAATAAATTTAAGTTTTTCTGAAAAGAAAAACAGTTCCTTCAAAAATAACATTATGAAATAAATAAATGATCATCTATATAGTTACTGGTAACTTTCTAATGAATGAATACTGACTGGGGGTATCACTATGAGCACTACTTCTCTTCATAAAATACATTTTTGTAATGTATGACTGTGGTGTATCAAGTAAGCTCAGTTGAGGACTAGTTCTGAGTTGTAATAAAATGGTATTTTGCAGTTGAAGAGCGTGTGTTGTTGCTCTATCCCTCTCATGCATTACAATGACAAGCGCAGTATAACAGAATAGAAAACAGCACCGGTATCAATTGCCTTAATATATATATATAAAGTGTGACTTGATTTTCGTAGAACAGTGCTCAATACATAGAAGTAGAGCGAAGTATATATTGTGGGAGGAAAAAGACAAGTAAACTACAAGTTCATCCCTACAAGCCTGTTTCGTGGTCGCCCACTCATCAGGGGATTTAATGAGAATAAACTTTACCATTGCTTATATACAATATAATTTGCATGATCTAACTAGTCTAATTTATGCAGCGCGAAATTGACANTTAAATTTTTAGCTGTCTTTTAATTTTAAGCTGACACGTAGGCTTACCATGTTTGTAGATTATGGTATATTGGCTCGTATACCATAATGGCTAAGCCAATAAAAAGTCTTGAATTGCATTATCCAATGATCTAGTTTTTAATAAATATATATATAACTGCAGACAGGGTGCACAGTGTTTTGACCTATGTGGGTCTCGTCAGTTGATATATATATATGTATATCAAAGAACAACTGCCAATAGCCGACTTTCAATATACTGGTTGAATGATCACGCACAAAAGATCAGAGACGAAAAAAAACTGCAGACAGGGTGCACACTGTTTTGACCTATGTGGGTCTCGTCAGTTTATATATATATATATATCAAAGAACAACTGCCAATAGCCGACTTTCAATATACTGGTTGAATGATCACGCACAAAAGATCAGAGACGAGGCTCCGGGGAAATAATATATAATCTGCTTTTGACAGGAAAATTTTCCACAATTGATCTTTGCATACAAAATTTGCTATTGAGATCTGATTCCACCCTAATAGTAAAAATAGGGTTGACAATATCAGGATCATACATGACCCATCCATGGATGGTGACAGTCATAGAGAATTTGACACTATTAAATAACTTTTTCACGCCACAATGTCATATAACAAAAAAAGCAAAAATCACAAAAGTATGAGTCACCTAGGAGTTCATAGTCGGGATTATAGGACACTTAACAAAAAAAGGATACGGACAATAGGGAAAAAGAAGTGAAAGACTGTTTGATAGCTGGATTAAAAAATAAACTCTGGCTCAAGAATAACGCATAATATGGCTAACGATGGAAGGTCAAACCACTCTCGGTTCATTTTCATGTTGGCCAGTTTTTAATTTCGTTGAAATTTTCATGCTGACAAGACGATAATAAATAATATGAAACTGCATTCATTCGATCCACTTGTTGCACATTTTAGGCATCGACAAATCCAAAGATGGCAGCCTACTGAATTCGACTCGCGCAAATCTTTGTCATTGATATGATCAGGGCAGGAGCTTTGAGTTTCAAATTGGAAAAGTGGATCATTTCGTGTTATTTATTCACCTATATACGTCCTCTGAAATTTGCAATAGTGTTATTCTATAGTTATATATCACATGCCAATCATAAAGTTTCCACATTTAATTCAGGCCTCCTGCCTTAATGCCTCCATTTCTTGCTTCTTCTCTTCCCTCATTGCCTCAAGTCCTTGCCCCTCAGTTTGTTTCATTTTGAGTTCGTCGAGCGAATCGCCTTCTTGTAAGCTTACTTTGTGCTTTTTAATATGGTTCTCTTCTTCATTGTTTGCTTGCCAGTCTTCCATCCTCTGCACTTCCCAGTTTGCTGTTCTCGATCCTTACTTGCCCGCGGTAAGGATTTCTCTTCAGTTCCTTCTATACAAACTTCTCAACAGCCTTATTTACCCGCACAATAATTTCAGCTAAAGCTCGTCAATTATTTGGTCGCTTTTAAGGAATTTGATACCAAATTATAATTTGACCATCAATTTATTGACAGATAGATATGATATGGATATAGATGGATATGCGCCCGTTTTCAAAAATGCCGCAAATTTGAGAATACATATAAAAAATATATACTTTTTTTCCTCATCAAAAAGAGACACTTTTCGATGTACTTATATTCTTTGATTAAGAGTTTTCTCTTTGCAGTTTCTTTAGATGATGTTGAGCTATGCATGGGGAATTTGTCTTACAAACTGATCGCGTTGTTGTTGATTTTTCTTATCGCCATATTTTCAGGAGGAATTTTGCAGTGATATAGAGGAAAGAGCCCAGCGGATTTGCGGACAGGATGTCAACATCCTCCCTCTTTCAGGCTTCAGGGAGCAAATAGCCAACACCATTCAAGTGCTGGAGAACAGCATCTTTTTCTAATTGATGTAGTCAACTCTTGACTGTGTTTAGAGAAGAAAGACTTTTTTTTAGTAACCTGATAGATCATTACACACGAAAAAGTCTCTAAAGTAGGTATCGTTAGCTCTCTATTTTCTGAGATTCTGTTTCAAATCTCAGTGATTAACGTTCTTATAGAAAAGTAGGCATCTGGCAACCTTAGCTCGAGTATACAATTGGAGGATGAAAACCAACTGACATTGATAGTCTGGAAGGTGCTAGGTACGATTGCAGTGTTTTCTTGTGTAATGGTCTCTTCTTTTTGAAAAAAACAAACAAACAAAAAAATTCAAGGAAAAAAAGGATGGTAAACGAAATAAGATACAAAAAAAAGTGAACATTTTCAAAAAGGAAAACAAATATAAAAAATAGGTCACAAAATTCAAGTAAAAAAAGTGACCGTACTCAGGTACAGTACATCAGAGATGCAAAAACGTTTGTTGCTAAAGGAAACTCCAATTTGCTACACTGTATAAGTAAAAGAGAAAATTATCTCTTGATAATGAAGATTTCTGTATTCCAAAGTTCAGCTATGAAGCGAAAAGCAAAGGAAACTTAAAAAATGCTGAATACAAAGTTACAGAAAGCACATAAAGCATCAGAGAAAAAAGTTGTGGCGGTAAAAAAAAACAGTCTTGTCAGAGAAACAAAAAAGTGTAAATCCAATAAAGTTTTACATTTTCATTCCTTAAACCTATGCCTAGTGGTTTATGTGTCTAACAAGCACACCGTGAAGGGAAAAATGTCCAAACAGGTAATGGGAATTGATTCCAACCGTGTCACATGGAAATATTCTGTTACTGAAAAAGAAGGTACTTTTCGAGTTTGAAACTACAGAGCCGTTAATGGTGCAATGGTCCGAGTTTGAGTCGTAGCCCTGGCATGTGCATGCGTTGTGTCTGAGGAAACTTTCGCCGTGTCCCTCTCCATCCAAGAGTATAAATTAGCAATAGTAAAACGCCATGAAAACCTGGTGAAATGGCGGAGCGTAGCCTAGCGGCGATGAATTGACATCACTGTATGTACATATCCAGGAGAGACGAATTGAGAGAGGAAGGAAAACAGACTTCTTTCGATTCACGGTCGTGCCACACGCACTGGACACATTTCCCCGGAAAGAACTATGCCAAATTATTTTCTAAATAGCGTTGTTTTGATGCTGCTATTTTGCTGGAGCAAAATATACTTCAGTTACTCACTTGCAAGTTTTATTGAAATGAGGCAATGAACAAGTGCCAATTCTTTCCATGTTCCATGAGAGAACAAGGGGTTTGGCCTGCAACGACAGAAATTATACATGTATGGCGAGTTCTTCTGAAGGTAAGTTTCCTGTATCCAGTCCAACGCGATTATACCTTTTTGTTTGAATCGACCAAAGTATAGTTCGGCGATGAAATCAAAATGTTACGCCAGAAGTCATGAAAGTTGGTGAGAAGTGTTTCCGTTGTTTGGTGACTGTTCAAAGGGTCGCGATAAGAAGATTGATATGTCAGAGATGTCTTTAATCTTGATAGGCAGAGGCTGACTAAAATAGAAATGGAATTGTTATAGAGTGCCCGGATGTTTAGAGCAATATATTATCATGCGCACTCTCCAAATTCTTTGTAATCGTGATGGTATCAACAATTGCATCAACAGCAGCGACATCAAAAAACAAAACGTCTTCGCCACCATTCAGTATCATGAAATATCAGTATCCACCTGTTTTCAAAGATTTTATCATCCACCTAGTCCAATCTTTGAACAGTTCAAGTCGTGCAGCATTCAAGTTTTATTGCAAGGGTCTCATTCCAGATTCGATGCTAGATGGCAACATGGCTACTGACGTTGAGTTCTTCGCATTAATCGAGTCCCTTCAGAGATCTAATCATTTGTCTTTCACCAACATGTCACTGCTTAAAGAAATCCTCTCAAGTATTGGTCGTCGTGATTTGCTGCAGGACCTCAAAAAAGTAAAACTGCGGATCTCAATTGGTTTCATTTTAGAAGATTACCTGAAATTCAAATACGTTGATGGTATGAAACCTGCTAAAAATCACACCGATATCGTGGATCTTCTACTTACTACTGAAGTAGAAAATTGCGACCTGATAACGCAAGTGCTTCTACAGTTTAATTCACTTTGTTCTGATCGAAACTTTCTGAAGAAATTTACAGATGTCGCTCGACTTGATTCCCAACTATCGTGGCCGATGGTTACCTCATCTTTGGTGATAATTGGTGAGCTGTATGCTTCCTTCACTCTCCATTCAAAAAGTTTCGAGGAAGGTTCCTATGTGTACTGGTTCTCCAACACCAAGGCAAGCGAGTTGCTGTCAGATTGGATTTTTGTAAACGGGGGTTTGGTGAGTAAACTGAGTCTACATACGCTAAATAAATAAATAGCTCCTTGAAGCGTCGATTTGTACACCACGACGTAAAATGACCTGATCAATCAAAAAATTTTACATTTTCACATATGCAAAGCATAATGGCAGTACTAATTGCGGTGGTTGTGAATAAAAGATTTGACTAGCTTTTCTTTGTGTAACAGATACAAACTGGACCAAAGGAAAACACTGCGTCGATGTTGTGATCATCATTTGAATTCAATGTGCACAAGTTACAATTCACCAAGAATTGATATTGACGATGGAAGACAATAGAGGAAGTTGTAATGAGCGAGTTTCAACTATCATCTTTCGTTCTCTGTTTAATATTTACCCGTTTTCAAGGACGAACATTCGATTACAACGTTCTTTTGTAAAGTCAAACTTTTATTCCGTCATGCTCGAATACACCAATAATTATTTGGGCTTCCCACGCTTCTGGAAGTTGTGTTCGATAATCTTCGCGATTAGAAACTTCCATAACTTGCAACATAACTTAAAAAACGCATGTTAAAAATGCTTCTAAGCGAAACATTTCGTTTTGCGCAAAGATAAACCCCAAATGTTTACAGAGAGTTAATGTGACTTTTGCACCATTCGATGATTCTAAAAGACCGATCAAGCAAATTAAAACTCCACTGATTTATTCATAAACTCTAAATACACGGAGGTCATCTGCATGAATAAAAATTAACCTCTGCGTAAAATGAGAATGAGGTATTCTTGAAAGCCTACAAAGCAGTTAAACTTCTTTCAAAGCAAAACTTTTTGATAGCTTGCTCCTCTCTTTGAGTCAGAAAATTAAATGTTAGAGAACTAAATGTCACTCCAAAACAACATCAATTAATGCTGAAATGTCTTTTCTTTGTTTGCCAGAAAATGTATCGCGAGTTCATCAAAGAAAAACAACGAGCTACCATCAGTGAATCTGTGCCACCTTCCCTCAGAGAATCTTTGAAAGAAAATATTGATCTGCTTGGAATTCGCGTGGGTGAACCATCAAGAAATTAAATTGTTAATGCTGTTGACTTCTTTATCATGTTAAAAAAAACATTTTTGAATTGTTGATATTATCCAGTAACCCCCTCTTGTGGACTGCCACCTTGCCGTGGTGGAGGGGCTTGTGCGTTTCTATGATCCTGAGAACTCAGCCGGCGGAGGCATGTGAGCCTCTGGCAGGTACAACCAAGCCGGACAGATCAACGGGGAGAAACCAGACTAAAAGGCAGTCAAACTTCTCACTCTATACCAAGTTATATCTTTTAAAAAGAACGTCCCTTCTTTTCAATGAAAAAAAGTAAAGAAGATGTAAAATGTGAGATGCTTCTACAAACGCGAAAATATGTGAAAATCAAATGAATGAAAATGATAATAAAGAAGAATCACCTCAATCATATGTTAACGCCTTGAAGTTCCGAACATCATCATGTGATGACCCAATGGTGGTGATAAATCTTTCTACCCTGGTTTCTAAAATATTGCCAAAGAATTTTTAGGAACTGTTTTAATGAATTCTCATGTCCTCGGCCTGAACTCTTTCTTGGAGATATAAGAATGGTTACGGAATCCATGATAGCGAAAAGGAAGTAAAACAGAAAAATGAAGAAAGAAGGGGGAAGGAAAGAAAACAGCCTCAAAAATTCTTAAACAAACTGCAATCATAGCTATGCTAAGTTTTGAGGTATGATTGTTGGTTTTTCTACCCGGAGTTAAGGTAGCTCTAATCTAAAGAAAACGACGAAGGTTGATGGGCTAATTACTAATGAATCTTATGAGGTCTCCGTATTTCTTTTAAAGTCACAACCACATCACGCTTAATTTAAGGGTGTTTAAGATCAGAGGATATAGAATTTCCATATAAGGTCAGAAAGTGATCTCAGCTTGTTATGCAATGTTAGGCATTTCTTTTGTTACTATCAGTAAGTTGCCTAGCAGGGACTGATTGCTAGCTAGCATAGAATAATGCCTAATATGGTATTTCCACGTCAGTTTCTGGTATAAATAAGCCGTCTCATCTCTTTCTTATCAGTCGCCATATTCATCTTCCTCAGGATAAGACCTCTTAAACAAAAATGTCTACATTAATATCACTTATGATTCAAGACTTGAGGCAAATGTGTAAAACCGAACTTGTTGAGATTTGTCGACATTTGACCAAAGATCAGTTCAAAATGCTCTTATTTTATTGCAAAGATAAATTCCAGAGAGTGATTCGAGTAGCTTCTCCATACCAGATGAAACTTTTGGGTGCTTGGAAGAAAAGGAAATCATCTCGGTGTTCAAAGTTAGCTTTCTGATGAAGTTGGCTGATGCGATTGAGAGGAAAGACCTGGTCACCAAGCTTACCAGGTTTGAAATAACTAGAGAGCTGGTTCTTTACGCTTTAAACAGGCAAGGGTTACTAGAAACATCCATGAATTAGTCGTCCACAAGTCTGGGTCATCATTTAGCCGAATTGGTGGATGTAGTGCAAGATCAGTTAATGCACTGGTCCAAGGATTGTTCAGGTCCTTCGTTATGCCCGAAAAAACTGTTTCCAACATTTTGGACGTAATTAACGACGAAGCACTACCTGGCTGAGATACATCCAAAAGCTGGAACAGTCTGGCCTTGTGCGTCGCAACTGCGGCGGAAATTGTCTGGTTGGTCATCAGAGTACGGTGGCCCAGAAGGCTCAACGCAAACAAAAAATATACTGCAGCAAATAAAAAATATACTGCAGCAAATAAAAATATACTGCAGCAAATAAAAAAAATCAGAACGCAAAGAAAAAAAGTACCGCAGCAAATAAAAAAATGTAACGCAAACAAAAAATACTGCAGCAAATAAGATATGCAACGCAACCAAAAAAAAAAAGAAACCGCAAACAAAAAAATTTGGAACGCAACGCCAAGGAAGACTGGGTAATAGTTCTTAGTTTCCCGCTAAAACAGCATGAACTGAAACTCGTTTTTGGTAATGGACGAAAGCGATCTGCGTAGGATTATAGAAGATTGCTTTCTTCAAGGGTATGAAAATAGAGTTATTATCGATTTTTGAAAGGAGCAGCATGGTACTGTCATAAGTTTAGCAACTTTGAAACGACGGCTAAGAGGATACGGCCTTCGAAGAAGGGGGTCATCTGCTGACGATCAACAGCTGAGGAACTTAATTCAAAGTGTAAGTTCAGGACCCGGGGAACTTCAGGGATATAGATCAGTATGGCATTCATTGCGAATAGAACATCATGTTCATGTTTCAAGACAACGTGTTGCCAACATTTTGAGAGAGTTGAATTCGCAAGGAGTTCAACAAAGAAGACGACGGCGTCTGAAAAGACGAAGATATTCAAGTTGTGGTCCCAATTTTTGCTGGCATATCGACGGTATTATACTTGAATTGATATAGATTGTAATTCATCTGTAAACAGCCTTGCATAATCCCCGATCATCCTCGAGAGCCTTGGCAGGGTTTTAAGATTAAGGATTGTAGGCATCTTTTGAGCAAGGATTTAGAGTACTGCAGCTTGACGACCATAACAACGATTTCTCTGGAAACAAACAAACTTGAGGGAACAGAGAAAAACTTCAAGAGTGACTCAATTGAATGTGATTATATTGGACGAAACGATTTTAAATTCCCTCGGGTTTGTATATATACATATTTTTTTTCTCGTATATTTTTAATTTGGGATGTGCGTATATCTGAGCTTTTAAACTTTCAGTTATTTTGTTATAGAGGACCCCCCCCTCCTTAAAACCACTTGACGTGATGGGAGTGACCTCTTAAAATATGATTTATCATTATTATTATCTCATTTGTCTCCAGAAAAAATCACTGCTGTGTCAGTGTCACGTCAATGCTTCAGTACTCTATTCACCACGAGTAGAATTGTTGATTATTAATTCAAGTAACATTATGGATAATCAAGACTTCTTCTTCCCTCCTCTAACAGGGCCTTACAAAATTATTATCATATTCCTGATCATCACCATTATATATTGTCATTATCACTAACATTGTAATCATGCATCCCTTTAATCATTATTGATACCATATTTTGTTTGGTTTTGAAGGTTATGATAAGCTTAAACCATTTGGGTTCCCATTACACGAGGCAATAGATGGCTACAGCCGAAAAGTGCTTTGGCTTAAGGTGGCTAAGTCTAATAATAAACCTGAAGTTATTGGTGGTTTTTTTCTTGGTTGTGTCAGAGAATGCTCTGGATGTCCCATTCTTGTAAGAACAGACTGTGGCACAGAAAATGGCACTGTGGCTGCTATCCAATCATATTTTAGGCAGGAAGGCAATGATGAATTTGCTGGTGAAAAATCTCATACATATGGAACATCACCAGCAAATCAAAGAATCGAATGTTGGTGGTCATCTCTAAGACGAGCAAGAACATCTTGGTGGATAGATCATTTCAGTAACATAGTAAACACTGGATTAGTGGACACTAAGCTTAGCAAGGAATGCTTGTGGTTTTGCTATGAAAGGGTACTTCAAGATGAATTGGACAAAGTGAAACATCATCAGAACACTCATCGAATATGCCCATCAAGGCATAGCACAGTGCCTGGCATTCCTAATGTACTTTACCACTTACCTCATCGTTCTGATGGTATGGACTGCAAGGTGACAATTCCAGCTGAAAAGGTAAATGCTATGGAAGTGTATGTACATGATGATGATGATGTTGATGATGACAATGATTCAGCTATATACCAAGAGTATTTTGATTTTGTTCTGCATAATGAGATGCTTCAGTTCCCAAACACTCCTGATGAAGCGTTCCCTGTCTTTAAAACCTTATTAATTATTGCTAACAGGTAACTCTGCAAATGAATCCTAGTAGGGAATTATAGATGTACAGCAAAAGGAAATTGTCATGATATAGTTTCAGATTTATGATTAGGTACTTGACCGTATGTTTATGGAACTTAACTTAAGAAAAAATATGACTGCATGACTACAAATAAGCAAGCACATGTATCAAGTAATCAATTTAATTATCAAATAGAAAACTGATAATTCTTTATAAACATCAAGGCTTGTTAATTTACAAAAGGATGACATGTACTACATTGTACTATTTTTAAAATTATAAACTTTGTGCAACCCCAACTTAACTGTAACATGTGACATAATTGTCATAGAGTGCAATATATAAACCCATGGAACAGTATTCCCAAAACAAATGTAATCTACAAATGCATGATAAATTTCAACTGTGAAAGAAATTATAGTACTTTAAGTCAAATAGTTATTAATAATAGTTGAAATAAAAATAGAAAAGCTTATAGGACTATAATTATAAGGAATTTCATGAGTATATATTATTTGAGCTCTAACAAAATCATACAATGTCATTATCTGCTTGCATTTAATAGTAGAGTAGTTTTCAGATATACATGAAACTTGTATCAAGTAGTATGTGCATAAGTCAATAACTTCAAAAGGAAACAATTACTTCAGAACATTTACTTCAGAACATTTACTTCAATTTACTTCAGAACTGTCAAACCTATCAAAGGTAACATTTTTAAAACTGCAACTTGATTAGTTTACTAATAGCAAAGTTGCTCCACCTGCTAAAAAGTGTTTATACATTCTGTAAAGTAAAACACATGACTATGATTGTAAACTTTTTTCTAAACAATGCCAAAACCTGGAGAGTTAAGCATGCAAAATATGAAATCTCCTTTAAATGACCCATAACTAGATAACAGATTGTCTGTAGCTGTAATATACAGTACATTAGAGCAAGTGCTAACGTAGAGCTTTTTATTCCCCTCGTGTATGAAAACAATGGAAGGCCTGGGATGTAAACCTAAAGGAGGGACACTCCTACTCCCTGTTAAAAATACTAATATACCTTCAAGAGAAATATTTACTGTAACATAGGAATCAGTACTACTATCATAGACCTCACTCTTAACGAGACCTTGTTCAACATCTTCCAACAATTGGTTCCAATAAAAAAGAATGGTCTTTTGTTTTTCACTTTTGTTGCTTCCTTCAGGAGCTAACTTGACAGTAAATAGGCCATCTATTAATTCTGCAGTTAAAGTACTACTAGAAAATTCAAATATATTCCTTGCCTCAATGGGGTGATTCCTCAGCATATGTAAAACCCCAACTGCGTTTAACCCATCAATAAACTGATTCATTTCACCAAGAGGTGTTAAAGTGTAATGGATAGTGGCGGCTGTTAAAAACTCGGCCTTATTGGAAAAGACTATTGCTTTGGTATAGCCCATATCATGAAATGATTCACTGAAAAANAGCAGTAGTCACTTTGGGTTTCTTCCCTTTGGGCTCAAACTTTCCTCTTCTTTCTTCTTCTTTCCTTTTTCTAAATTCGGAAAATCCAATGGTAGAAGCCTAAGTAGGAGATGTCGATTTAGAACCGCAACATGGTTTCGGAAAGGCGAACAAGCTAAGGATGGAACGACTGTTGGCGGGAAACTAAGAAAGAACTATTACCCAGTCTTCCTTGGCGTTGCGTTTCAATTTTTTGTGTTTGCGTTTTCTTTTATTTTGTTTTGTTTGCGTTGCATTTTTTATTTGTTGCGGAACTTTTTTTTCTTTGCGTTTTGATTTTCTTTTATTTGCTGCAGTATATTTTTTACTTGCGTTGAGTCTTCTGGGCCACCGTATCAGAGACAACTAAGAGCAAGAGAATGTTAGAAAGAATGCATTACAAGTCGCCAAAAAGCTGGCCAGTCATCTATGGTCTAACATGCATAAAATTGAAACCTGGGTGAGTGGAATTTAACGTTCATTCCTCAAATATTCTTTGCTTTTTATTCTCTGTAATTAAACTATTTTTAGTAGCTTACAAACTATAATGTGAAATAGAAAGCTAAACTGGATCCGCTGTTGTCAGTGTGACGAAATGTCAGGTGTTCAATGTCAACCAATCAGCTGTCAACGTAGGCTGAGCACTTCGTCTACATAAGTTTTGTAACTGAATAAATATAATGTTTGCATTGTGTTGCGTTTGCGTTGCCGAATCTTCTCCTGATCTATACAGTCAGCATTCTGTGAAACCAACAGAAAGAGACCTTATAAAAGAAATTTCTATGAGATGATTTGACCAGATAAAATCAAGACTTCTCTCCAACATTGACATAGATTACTTTTAAAAGAAACGTAAACACGCAAGGCATATCTTAGTTTATATGTTAATTTTTAACAGTATAAGAATGTAAAACCATTGAGGAACCTTTTAGGAATATCGCCAATCTCACGATTTCTAGGTTTCCATAACTGATTTTTTGCGTGCACTGAATTTAACGCGTTTTGAAGCTATGGAATGGGATTGCATACAGGGTGACTTGCAAAGACGCGTGCAGGGCTTGTTGGTTTGGTGCCTGATCGAAATCACGAGGGCGAGAAATTTTATTGTCTACTGGCAAAAACATCTGCGTATTTTTAATCATTTGAGGGCTTTCCGGAGCTGGCGCTCGGGTTCATGTTAAGGGCGCCGCCAATAAATTTAATTTCAGTCAGCGTTTAGAGGAAGAGTTAAAAAAAAAACAATATTTTCCGCTTGGCTACGAGCTTCCTCAACAGTTCGTGTTATGAGTTTATAAAACCACCTATTAGGTGGTTTGCAGGTCACGTCATTGCCGCCATGTTGGTGGACGTAAACAATAGATATCTCATAAGCTCCTTTTGTTCGTCCACCTGCATTTGTTCCTTTCACTATTGTTACCTATGTCTCTAGAGTATGGTGGACTCGAGCGTTGAGAGCAGTATTTGGACAATTATCCTTCCTATCGAATTTTCCCAAGACTACTGATTATCATATGTTGCTTTCGTTTTTCTCACCTTAGGAGGAGTTGTGCCAATTTGTCATGAAACGACACCAAGGATATCTTTGCGCACCAGTTCCTGAACCAGTCCCTGACTTTCCATGGCAGTTAACGTTAAGCTTGATTGAAAAGATGAAGGATACCTTCTTTACTGAAAAACGAGGATAAGTATTATCCAGTTTAACGTGGTCATTGGTTTAATTTAGGAAATATTGAAGGGACAAACTATCTAAGCAGTCAAGAAGAGTGGATAGAGTGAACTGAAAGAGAGAGGTAGCTTATTCATTTTTCTCGCTTTCTCAAATATTCAGATGTACTGAACTTGAACATAATTTTTTTCAAGGGGTTTACCTATTGGTCTGGGTCTGAGTCTGGGTCTGAGTCTGCGTCTGAGTCTGGGTCTGAGTCTGGTATGCATCTGAGCAGTACAAATTTGCATATGGATAATTTTTATGACTTTATCCCCAGGTTCACTGAGTCGGGAACCTATTTATGCAACAAACAAGGAAGTGTGAAGGTGTAGTCTGATCGTCCGGGTGAGTGTAGCCCTGAGAAGGACTTTTGTCGGTGGTAGTGACTGACGTTTCGACAACCTGTGCGGAAGTCATCATCAGAGTCAAGTGAATGATTGTTGTCAGTAGAATGTTCTTATTCCAGTTCGTGTGAAATGATCGGTTGGTTTTGCCGTGATGTTATTGGCTGTAAGACTCAAGTGACGTAAGTCGGTCGTGATTGGTCTGTTTCGATCTGTCGGTAAAGTTAGGTCGTTCTTTTTCGGTCGTTTGTGATGTTTATGTCGTGAATGAGTCGTTTGTATGGAGCGGGTAGTTGTTGACATCTGTTTAGGGGAGTCTGTTCTAAGTTAGTAAACCAGCTTTCCAGAGTCAGTCGTTGAAAATAGTCAGTGCTGTAGGTTAGGCATTGCGCAGAGTCCCAGTCAATGTTGTGGTTGGTAAGTCGATGGTGTTCAGCAATGTGATTGCTGACATCACCTTTCCTCGTCGCCCGTCTGTGTTCAGTCAGTCTTGTTGTGAGGTTTCTGCCAGTCTCACCGATGTAGGAGGCTTGGCAGTCGGAACAATTGATCTTATAAATCGTTCCCTGTCTGTTCCTCGGTTCGTCTTTGTCTTTAACGTTGGTTAGTAACTGACGTAGTGTGGTGATGGGTTTGTGGGCGACGCGGATATTGAAGGGTAGTAAGATGCGCGAGATGTTTTCAGACATGCCTTTTATGTACGGTATGGTTGCTGTAGTCGTAGGGGTTGCGGTGTCGTTTGTTTCGGTAGTGGTAGTGGGTCGGTGAGTGTTTCGTCGGATGAAGTCGTTGTTGTAGTTGTTCTTCGTAAAAACACGGTGAAGGTATTTGTTCTCGTCGGATAAGCTGTCTGTCGAGTCACATACTAGTTGTGCGCGTCGTGTTAGAGTTCTGATAGTTGTGGCTTTGTGTGATGTAGGGTTGTAGGATGACTCGTCTAGTAATCTGTCGGTGTGTGTCGGTTTCCTGTAAACTGTCGTTCGTAATGAGTTGTCGTTGTGGCTTACCAGGCAGTCTAGAAAAGGAAGTTTGCCATTTTCTTCGACTTCTCTGGTAAACTGTATGTCAGTGTTTTGTTCGTTAAGGTGGTTGTGGAATGCGTCAATTTCGTCGTGTCGAACGGCGGTGAATGTGTCGTCAACGTAACGTAACCAAAGCGGTATCGTTTGTCGGCAAGTCGAAAGGGCGCGTTCCTCGATGTTCTGCATCACAATTTCTGCTATAACAACAGAAACTGGAGACCCCATGGCAGTGCCGTGTAACTGTTTGTAGTGTTTACCGTTGTACTGAAAGTAAGTAGACGTTAGGCAAATGTTTAGCAAGTCCATGATGTCGTCTGTCGGTAGCGGTAGTGG